TTATTTAGTTACGATTATAACATACAATTAAATGTAACATAATGCTCGTATAAAAAACTATATTTTAATTCGTTTTTAAAATCCGAAACAAACTGCACGCGTGACAATAACGTTAATTTGATGCATTATATATACACCGGCGAACCAAGTCTAAACTGGGATCAATTAGCTGAGCTAATTATAAAATATCCAAACTTGGAGCTCCTCGGCATGTTTTTAAGAAACCGTTGAAATGTTTATCGTCTTATATCACATGTACCTAATTATAATAAAACTATCTGTTACCGGTTGTTAAGTAATTTAATCCCGGATTGCCATTTCCCGGATTAAAATGAGACATTGATAGATGTGATAGATTTTGTCAAATATGTGTCAATGCAGTCAATGTATTATTACAGCTTTTAGGATACTATTGCCGTATAGTTTAATTTTCGATATCCATATATATACATACTCTCCATACATATTATGTAAGTATATAAGGCTAGGCAGATTTAATTTTGTTACGATGAATTCATAAATAACATTTTTCAATTAAATATATTTTGTATACTTACCTATAGATACAAACTAATGCTCTCTTTTTTTTAATAACGTCACTTTAAGCATTCATTGCTTGAATTAAATTACTCCTTCGTGGTATTTGGCGTATAAGCTTATTTTTATATTAGTTTATAAATTGTTTTATTCTCTTCTTTCATATACTTTTGAATATGGAAAATAAAACTTCAATATCTATTACTTTTGTGATTATTATAAATTAACTCATGTATTTTTAAAAGCTTCTTGGCTGTTTATCTATCTAGTTTGTATAGCTAGTCTGGTTTTGCATAATTTTCTAGATCGATTAATAGAAGTGTGAACGACCCGTTCTATAACTTGACTGAAAGCGGCGCTTGGTTATCTCCGGTCGGAAATTAAGCAGTCGCTTGGTCAGCTTCATGTTATCTCTTCCACCTAGTATTAATTTTGAACACATTACGTCCCGTTCCCTTTGCAGTATGGAATTCAGGAATCTATTATTTTGAATGGCTACGTCATAAAATAAATTTATATCAATATATCAGGCTATACTATTACTAAATAAGCTGTAAACGTGTAGAATCATATCGGATGATTTCAGTCATTGAAACATGTAATTTGCATTAAAGTAAAGAGCAGTGATGAATATTAACATTTAAAAAATATTAATATAATATTTTCACACATATTTTTACACGTTTATCAATGACTAAACGCTTTGAAATCACAAAGCATACTTAGTGTAATAATGTAACGTTGAATGACAAATGACTGGTTTAAGCAGCTCTCAGAAGTTCCTTTTTAAGTAGCAGATGAATAATATATGCGAAATTACCATTCTACTAAGACCTGCAGTATTTCACTTAATTATAAATTCATTTGTTGTTTAATGTTAGTGTCATACATTCATAGCAGGGTCATTTTATATTGGACTCATGTTAGTGAGTCGACCACGAAAATAGATTAAAGCATTGCAATAATTATATCAGCAAAAGGGCTTTGTTGATCGTCGTAACCTTACAACGTGTGTGTACCTACTCTGAACAAAAATATATATCTAACAAAACCAACATGATTTTTCTTTCTACCTAAATTTTGTAATAGAAACAAATCAATGAATTGTAATAATGGTGTAGCAATGAGGGGTTTAATAGAGATTATAACACCAATATTCATATTTTTTTAAATTGCTCAAGATCGTTGAAATTCTTATATTCGTTGTTATAATTATAATTAAATCTTACTTGAACACGGCATGGAAATAATTTTATATATGTGATATTAAAGTATTCAGAGACAATAGTGATATGTGAACGAAGTTAACAGAAACAGTAATGTGACATTTAAGTGAAGTGCCCAAACAAACTATGTAGTTCCTACCCTACACATACCTAGAAAACATTTGAATATTAAATAATGAAAATATATTAGGATGCCTTGAATATTAATGAAGAAACCGAAGATGGGCGCACATGGTTCAAAAGAGAAGCTCTATAGAAGTAATTCTGAGAAATATCCGTCCAAACTGCCGGTTCCCAATGATAAAAAGTATAAGATAGCGGTAAATCGAGAAAGATTTGGATCTTTCGGCGCCAGAGGTAAACATTTTGTTAATCTAATCATTGTAGGTATCAGTTGAAAAATGTGTGTACTGTTTAAAAGTCATCGAATACTCATATAAACCTGTTACATATAATTAACTTAATAATAAGTGATGTTATTTAAGTAATTAATTTATTATTCACTGCCCTGTATTTCGACTTTGTCACGGGTGGAACAATACAATATATATTAGCATGTATTATATATACAAAGTCTTGAAAATATTTTTAAATGATAGTAAAACCACCTAAAATTGTTATGTGGTTTAGACAAAGTAAGCTGAGAAACAGAAGTCAACGACTGTGTTTTATACTACACAGAAATCTATTTTTGCATCTGTTTTTTCAATTATAATGATTTATATTAAACACTTTCATTCAGTCGTTTAATACACATACAATTTGGTTATATCGTGTGATAGGGTTCAAATACTTTTGACCGTGGAATATTAATAATAAATCAGGTTCATTGGCTTAACTGCTTTTATACTACAAAATACCTGATACCTCACGGTCATTGACATTTAATATAATTTTCTTTTTTAAATAAAACTGTACTAGCGACAGGTAAGACTTATAGACGAATGAATATATTAATTTTACATAGTCATAGGTATTTTTACTTAATGTAGTAAAATTGAAAATACCTAAAAGTCATTCATTTGCACTGTGAGGTATCAATTATATATATAATTCTTCTATACAAAGAATTATTATTTAAACCTAACTCCTTTTAAATGACTGGACGAATGTGGGTGTGGTTTTGTGTATATACCTATTTCAATAGGTTTCTGGATGGTTTAAAAATACAATTGGATGTGTTAGGTGGCGCTATTTTTCTGGGCAGTAAGTACCACCTCGGTCTGCTAATAAATATATAAATATCAATTTTAATAAAATTCCATTGGTCTAGTTAAAATTGATGCATAGAGGTCGAGGTACAGGTCGAGGCTTTGAAATTCTGACGTATTTAGCAACCAATTTTAAGTGTACTTTAGTGAAACTATTTTGTAGTACGTTAACTATTAAAAAATATTATCGCCGTATACTTACCCAATCCGTATATCGGTGGCTGAATCCTGAATATAATTTTGATACTATTGTTTCACATATGTAAAATTCTGACTATTATTGTTAGTTTTTTGAGACTAATACATCCATATAATTGTTTCATGGTTTTTTAAAATAATGTTTATATACGAATCTCGCTCCAATGAAACCATACCATTAGACACCATTCATCCGGATATTATTATTGCATGTGTATTTAGTTTAACGTAACGTAATCTCAAATTGACATTTAATATATATAGAAAAATAAAGTAACCAAATAGATATAAAATTATAATGAATTCGCATTGCATTATGTTACGAGGTTACGTAACCTTCATGACAAATATATGCGAGACGAAATATTTAGATAGGTATTTTTAATTAATATCGTGTAATTCATGTGACGAGAGTATTAAAAAATAAATAATAAACGTTAGATGCCGTGAAATGTAGGACCTTATTTAAAAAAACTACAGGTAGGTATTTAAAATTGAAAAATATTTAAAGTACAATAAATACAGTCGAATTAAACCTTTTCTATTTTAAAGTAGGGAGTTTAGAAATTAATACTAAACAGCTATCTAACTTGTTGTTTACTTACTGTTGACTGAAATTTAATCTAATTAATATAAAGACACCTTGTTTATGTTCTCATTAAATTTGTATCAAAAAGATGCATCTGCTCCTATGTAGACTAAGTAATTATTATGTTTATTCCGATAACAATCGCGACGTGTCACAAAACTGATAAAAAGTTACCTATTTACGCTTTTCTTGCTCGTGTTCTTTATGTTTACGCAACAAGTGTCTTCCCACGATATCGTCTGTTGGATGTAAAGAGATAGATGCCCGATTACAATGTGTCGTAACGAAAACAATGAACTTTTCCTTTAATATCTTTAGTATTATTTAGAAAGTTTCTTCATGAATGATTTAAATTGAATTCTATGTTCTCCATAGATTCAATATTTAATTTCTTTAACCGATTTCGATTGTCTTCCTTCTACTAAATAAAAGTAAGTAATGAGAAAATTGAATAGTCAATTAAAGTATTCAGTATCTATTAATAATTATTCGTGAGTTGTGTGTTTTCCATCTTTAAAAGCAATTCATTTTCCATGCAAGTTTTGTGATATATACTATGGTAATTGTAGGGTAATTGCAGCACAAGAGTATCATGCTTTACGGTGCCGTAGGAACTTCACAGGTTCACAGGACTTCTTAAATGTCTAATCACACAATAGTTAATAATATTATTAAACGTGTATAGCGTAGATGTATATTAATATAAATGGACGAAGCAGTAAATGTTACAGATACAAATACTATTATGCAAGTCATTTAGCGTGAAGATAGAGATAACATTTATTTTTTTCTGTACAATAGTTCTATAAGAACCTTTCTCACGTGAATTGAAATGTTTAAGTGGCACGTTTCCAACAAACATACATACTGTATTATTTTGATTGATAAACAGAAATTCTTGTAAAGCAGATCCTTACTATATTTTTGCGATATTTGTAACAATGAGTATAGATTTACTAAGTAATAATAGGTGTACTATATACATGAATATAATATCGTATAGTCTTCATAAATATTTGTCTGCGCCTTCACCCTCGACTAGGATAATTACTAAGATTTACGAGTATATGGTTTACATAATTACAAGAAGGATTAATTTTATATCTAGATTCGTTTGATCAAATCCGATAAAATATGGTTCACATCAGATTTAAGTTAGTCGAATATAAAGTTTTTTAGATAACATTAACTATTTTTTGTTGGCAATTTACTTTACTCAATGCTTTATTTCAATTCCAGGGAACGGCAAGAAACGGGAGAGCGTCCCGGCACAAAATAACCCTGCCCGCCCTCCGCCTACTCCGCCACAGCCGCAACCCCCTAATATTCAGGGTGAGTCACTTACTGCGTCATGTTTTCTGTATAGAGGGTGTTATACCGCAACACTGATTGAAGTGCTTAAACGTTTATAATGGGTACATGATTTCTAACTTGTACTTATCATTTGTTAAAGAAAGAAACTTCTTCAAACATAAGGTGAAGGGTGAAGTAAAGGGGATTTCTAAACCAAATCGTGGAATTGATAACATCATACATTACTCAACAATTTAGTAAAACGATATCATTTTATAAGTTTCACAATGTTTTATAAACATACCGTGATATGCTAGACCAAATCAATTACTTGATGATATGAGCGAGTAAACACATAAGTTGTTACATGATATTGTCAGATCATATTGAAAAAGAGTTTTATTATTCACCGCTGGTGACGTTAATAGCGTGTTATTTGTCTGTATGTTACCATGTTGTTCATTGTTATTATTATATGATACAAAATGGCGGCGGCAAACAATGTCGGTTATCTTGTCTTTAAAGTTTAAAAGAATCCTATAATTAAAGAAGAAAATACAGTGAAATTTCAATAAATAAGTAATAACTTTGTGGAGTAGATTTTTTTTCTTTGTATTTAACGTTATGTTAAATATAGTACACTATTTTCACGACATCTACGCATTACCTGTAAATTTTGAGTCCATTAAAAAATACTTAATTTGAACATAATTTGATTTTATAGCCAATACGTTTACTGAAGTTTTACGTCCTTTAGGTCCTTTCGATGAAGTATTGAAAATTGATAGTGATCAGTATGGATGATAACTTCGTAGGTTTATTACATAATATTGTGCTACCATCAACAAGGAAGGAAATCAAGTGACTGGATATCTACAACGAGTCTGTAAGTAGACAGTTAGCGTACGGCCACGAAATAGTCATTGGAGCGAATAAACTTCGGAATCAGTTCAACGATTATAGGAAATTGTTGAATCATCATTCCCACTCGATAAGATGGAGACAATATCTGATTTGATCATTACTTTATATATTTAAAAACATTTTTGCTAATATAATAATGAGATAAAGGCAAGGCAATGATGATAAACGTTAATTTTAGTTATAGTACAGTGAGCCACTTCCAATATACTTAATCACAGTCACGGACTGCAAATAAAAATCCTTACAAACAATACTACTTTATTTACGACACGAGTTTCGTAACACTAGTTACGTAAGTTTTGTCTATGGCATAAACAATAGCGCCTGCGCATACGGTTGTCCTTTTAAAAGTGTGTCAAATTGGAACTGGTTCGATCTTGTGCTATGCTTCATTGTTGTATTAAGGTTCGATGAAGAAAACATGAAGAAAGAAAACTTGAAAGAGAAAAGATTGTATTTTAAAAATAATATCGCAGCAAATTTTCCTCCATATTTAAAATCTACTAATATACTAAACATCAAATTAATATTTAACTCAAAGATTTTTTTCTATTGGCAGTCAAATGATTTAGGAATAGAAAGTCTCCTCGGTTTGGAAGTTGTTTGACTTTAAGTTTGATTAAAAGATCGTGGCTCCAGGATCGCACGCATTTAATTTATTAATTATAGTTCTGTAGATTGTAGCCTAGAATTAGAGTCTATGCAAAGTACAGACACTACTTGTAAATTAAATTAACAGATCTGTGTAAATTGTTTCAGCTAAGAAAAATGGTGTGGTTCAAAAACTGTCTGCGTCACCTGTGTCATTGCGCGCGCGCACGTCCCTCGCTCCGCCTCCCTCGCCACGGAAACCTGCCCCCCACCGGACACCTGCGCAGCGGCCGACGACTTTGCCTACCAATAAAGGTAAGTTAGTGACCATAAGCAATTATATTGACGTGAACAGAAATTGATGGGTACGATACTGTTCGTTCAGCGTGGTTATAGTATTTAATGGATATTATCTTGCTTTAATCAAAATAGTTTTTAGATGAGGGTTCTAAAAGCAGAACATAAAAAAGTGAATCTGAGATTCTAGGAGACAACAGTGATAGGCCGTTTTATAGGATTAAACGATTTTATTTTTAGAGTATAATAGATTGTTATTGTTTAGATTATTAACAACTGTATTATTTTACTAGTTTAGACTACGACTTTGTAATCACGCTAAACGGAAAAGCAATAGTTTCCTTTGTTAACCGATTTGAATACAGGAACAAAATTTTAAGTAAAGATTACCACAATACATTAGTAAAAAGCACATTCAAATCAGTTAAGCCGATTAACAGATAACCATTATTCAATAATTTGGTATTGATAAAGTTCGCCCTAAATAGTCATTCCTATTTACAGACAGCAACCATATTTTTATTTTACATACCGGAATCATTATTCATATGCAGTGTTCATTATTCAAAGTACCTAGGTATCATACCTATATTTGCCTGTGCAAATCAATGTCAAATGTCAGTACATTTGACGGCTCGTTCCTCGTTTGAACAGATATTGCGTACAATACCTATATATTGTAATAGATATTGCGTACTAATACAAGCGCACAAATTCAATAATTTTGACTATACACTCGATATTTTATCTAATTAATAGTTAGTTGTATTATCTATTATTCAATACTAACCGTAACAAAGCTATGCGACTTTATTAAATATTAAAGATGACTATACAGTCTTATTTGGATACTAACGCCATCTATTGAGAGGATAGGATTGTGTTACACATATTTTCTTCAAGTAGCGCCATCTGCTTTTGTAGCCGGACATTTGATGAGTGGTGCTATCTAGTTCTCATATTATTAACTAGATGGCACCACTGAGTTTTATTTTCTTCTCTACGTTATAGATGTCACGTGTAGAGACAAAATCTTTTAATTCGACTGTATTTTCTATGTGACTGTTCTTTGTAGATCCAAAACTAGACCAACGGGGCAAGAGGATTGTTAGCAATGTCGACTAATAACCCTACTGCTAGCAATGTCAGGTTGACCTCCACACGCTACCCCTTGGAAATTGTAATAAATTCCTGTTGAATTTGCCACGATGAGCTGATTGACTTGGCCACATATTAATTTTATTATCATCCACTGGAGCACCACCAGCATAAACAAATCAAATCAAACCAAAAATCATTTATTAATGTAGGACATTTTAGTCCCTTGTGAACATAAAATTTTTGTATCTAGACACGCGGTAGCGTGTCAAGCCGAGTTTCAAGTAAACTGGCAAGCAGCACCGTGTGTATATTTACACGAACCATTTGGAGCCACTTTTGACCCCCTCATAACTCAAAAACTCTTTCACACAAACCTGTCAAATTTGGTTCATATATTGAGATTTGCGAGATAAATATGTGTTCCAAATTTCATAAACATATCTCAAACGGTTATTTATATATTAATGTCCAAAAATCGTCATTTTTATCACTGATCAACTATAGATCAAAATTATAACCCACTTCCAGATGACCTAGGAAGTTCAAATTTGGCATGCAGATAGGTAATTAGGTGAATATAAAGGAAAAAATCTGAAACTGGTAAATTGTTATCATTTTACTATAATTTTTCACTTTAATTGATTCTATTTCAACTTATACTGGACGAATACTAAAATTCTATGAAAACGTCGATAGCCACCAATTGGCATTGATCCCTGGCGAAAATATCTAATCTTGTTCTGGACGAAAGTAATATTGTATGAAAACGTCGATCATTACCAATCTACGTTGACCCCTTCACATCAGTGTCGATAACTAGCAAACTTCAAATATTGCATTGAGCGGTAAACACTAGTTGCTATAATTCAGATTCTGTCTAAAATATACTCGTACTTATAACTAAGAGTATAGTCGAATTTCGTATTTATTATGTTATTAACTGAGATTTGGTATTAATTATTGTTTCAATATTTAGCGCACTTCGATACTCAAACATTTAAAAGTTTCAAGAAAATATAGAAAATATCATTTCTTATAACTTAGGATAATATACTGTAGCCTAAGGTCTAACTTGGCTAGTTTTCATATACGAAATATACTGTAGCCTTCGCAAGTTCTAAACATGTTACTTGTCGGTTCCTATTTTATTATTATTAGTAACTAGCAATCGAAAGTAATAATACCAAATATGAGAACTGGCCAAGTCAGACCTTAGGCTACAGTATATTATCCTAAGTTATAAGAAATGATATTTTATATTGTTAGAAATACATTTCAGGACAGACCATTGAACTTGGCACCCATTAGATCTCACCTCTTTTGTCGTAGAAGTGAACAATCAAGGCATATATCATAATATTAAACTCGGCTATCATTTCACATTTATGTTTTTGATGGGATTAATATTTTTTCCCCACCGCTTAAACCATCAACGAAGGCGGTATAAGTAATAATCAATTTTCGATGATTCTTTTATTGCAAAAGTGAACCCATCTTAGTGAACCCTATGGATTGACATAGGGTTCACTAAGGTGCCATATTGTTTATTTTTTAAGTAACTGGAATGCAAAAGAACTGACGGCCAACCTGATACACGTAAACTTTCGCCTACCTTTAGTATATACATATATGAACAGCACTACGGATATCATGTTATCATGGGACGTCTGTGATAACACGCATGTATTGCCATTCCAGAGGATTATAGTCAGACAGGATAATATACTCTTACCCTGTATTTTCATTGCTTAATACCCTACAACTGAAATATAGCATAGAAAGCAAGCTGGTTGGCGACTGAAATAGGATGAAACTGAGGTGTACACAGACGACTAGTTAGAGGGACCAAATATAGAGAATATTACACACTAATATAAAATTAATTGAATTATCTACTCTCTAAAGCACTGAAATGTGGCGTTGGGTTGAATCAATTCTTGTCGTGGTTAAAGATCGAATCAATACTCTTAGGTGAGAAACAAACTATAAACTAAATCTTTGATATCAGAAGAAATAATACTGTAAACTAATTAAATTACTTGTACTTCAGCTACGAACATCAACCTGACGCTTAATTTACTAAATGTTTTGCGTTATTATTTCTCTCGGAAGATTTCGTTTTATATGATCTCCGTCATATACACTGTTCATTCCTGCGAAGTCGAGGTAGAACGCTGGTATGATATAGAATGGAATACGCTACCAATTCAAGTGCTGGTTCCCTTACCCGTTATCCGTTAAAATCAATGCAGACGTACTGCTTTATTTTTTTTACCAGGGGCTATTAGCTTCTTTGGAATTCAGTGGTATAAAAAGAAAATTTTGTGAGCATACCAAATAAGTGTTTATTTATCATGTGTGCTGAATAGATTCTTATTTAATTAGCTGCGTAGTCAGGACAAACAGAGAGATAGCTTCACTATAATGTGTTTTGTAATCTTCTTAACAATGTCCGATGTACAGATACAGAACGTAAAATGTTACAAATTATTAATATTGCAGACCTAATTAAAAAAGCAAGCAATTTCCCTAGCAATTCAACGTGGAAATGCTGCGAGCGTTATGGGAACCTTTAAGCCGGGTACGATACGGGACAATAATAGCAATTAACTTTTAGATGTTTTTTTTTTATTGTATGTATTAATGTAATTAAAAAAAATAAAAAAAAAGAAAGTTGAAATGCCATAATTTCGTCGTTGCTCATGTTACGTATTCATTCGAGATTTACGATGGATATAAAAAATAGTCGCAATTAAAATTAAAAGAAAATGCTCAGATTTTAAATAACTATCATATAATTGTATAATTGAGAAGAGTTTATATAAAAGTTGCCTTTAATTGTATTCTTTATTTTTAGATTTCATATAATTTATTCAGATAATTTATCAGTTGATAACTAAATAATTAATTCCAAACATATCATTTATTTATTTTAATTTCGCTCCCATTAATCTCCCATTAGTCCCTATAAGAATATTCATGGTGAAAATTTATTCAAAACAAAAAAAAATACATATGATGTATATGTACATTAATTATGAATTTATTGTAATCGAAATTTATTGTAGTGTATGTATTAAATTAAACCAACATTTTTTAAATTGAAACATACAGAGTGGATTAGGTTGAAAAATATCATTTTTAAGGTCAATGAACTATGTTTCAGTCATTACAACAGCACAGTAACTAATTTATACGGTATTATTGCAAGCATGACGAGTATCTCTGAATTTTTATAATGAGCCTGAATTTAGAATTAAACTGCTTTATGAAAAGTAAACTCTTCGTTGGCCTGTAAGCGAGTTCTAAACCTGACGCTGCTTATCTACTAATAGATCAAGTCTATGGTGAATAGATGGGTAAGCGCGCTACATGCTAAGTCAAGCCTTCATTTCCCATCAGCTGAGGTAAAACCAAGCGCAAACCCAAATAATCTCTTTTGCATATTAAAAACGAGTTAGAGTTTGTAAAAAGTCGCATACCTTTATATTACCTATTTCAACAGCCTAAGCATATTACATTGTAAGCTGTATTTCTGTTGTAGGATGAGATTAGGTAGTGCAATTATAGGTTAAAACAGCATTACATCCTAATCCTTAAACATGACAACCCAGGTGTGATATCACAGGGGTCACATGATATAGTGATGACCAAGGTGCTGTTGATGTTTGTGTATAGGCGATAGTTAACATTTACCATCAGATTGGGAGTCACTTTGTAAATATGAATTACCATAAGAAAAGAAATGTCTTGCACCATGTGCTAGCATGCACTGTAGCTAGTCTGCCGGGAATAGATTACTGACTACATACTGTCACGCGGACACGACTTTTAGTCTTTTTGATTGGGAAGTTTCTGTTCATTTATGGAATTGTTTGGAAGAATATAACAAAAAAAATTAACATTTATTGGTAACG